CTGATATTAACGTTTCGTGATTGCCAGCAAGCATTCGAATGAAAGCAGATCCGCATGCATAGTAGATTTCATTTTTATATATATATTATACACCGATAATATCTAATAATTTGTAGGCAAGCAAGAAATTAAGACGTTGATCACTGTCCTAGCCAGTTTTTCCCCAGCATGCATGTAAGCAAACAAGATAGTTCAATGTTTGCTTGTGAAGGAAGCAAGTCTTCTGCCATAAATCGCCTCCAGAATTGCTGCTCCAGCCTTGTAACTTCATCTGTCAACCTGTGCACACTTTTTTAATGCTTGTTGCAGCTTGTTTGTCTTTGCTGCGGAAAAGTGCATTTTAATTTTTCTTTTTAATATTTTTGAATAATTTTAATATGTTATTATTGAAAATATTTTTTTTTAATATATTTTAAAATAAAAAATATTTTTTTAAAAAATCACCATACACTAATTCCAAAAAAAACCCAGCTAGTTTATGTGATTTTATGTGTTAAATGCTGAAATTGGATATATTTTTTGTTCGTGTTTACTAACTGGACACGTCAATTTTTTCCATTTTTCCTCGCAAAACTCTCATCAATCCCTCTACTGTATATAGTTTACAAATTGAGTCCTCTAAATACCAATTCTATAAATTAGCTCCTCTATTGTTTACCTTTTCTCAATCAAATCCTTCTATCAATATAATTGGAGGTGACATTAAATAACGCACGAGTTACCCACGCATTTTCCAATTTGGTAACGACTTTGTATTGCATTTGGGTCACAGAAACATTAAATTTAATCCTCTTTAATGTTTCTAATATAAACATTTTAATATAATTGAAAAAATCTAAAAAAATATTGAATTGATTTATTTTTAATTATTTTTTTTATCAAAACATATGCACTGTTTTATAAAAACACATAGATGTAACAAAAAGCTTACATTTCCTCTCATTTAATATACATAATAACACGTGTAATCCAAATATAAAACTATTTTAATCACATAATTATTTATTTTAACTAATCTTACATAGAAAGAAATAATAGAATACTTTTCCATAAAAAGTAACACACACACAAAGAGTTTAACATCATCCTCAATTGTTTTCAAAAGTTATTAACGTATGTCGACGGAGGTCCCAATTGAGAAAACTGATAGATAGGAGACTTCTTCAAGAAAAAAACAATAGTCGAGGGACTAATCGAACTTCGTCTTAAGCAAATCAGGAAAGCAAGTAGACAGACCTGGCTCTCCTTCACTACCCCTGCCAGATATTCTGATTTTTCTCTACGGATCGATCAGTTGCTGAAACCCTAGAACTGATCCGATCCAAAAAACGATGTCGTCAAGGAAACAGCGAGAGCGTCAAATGCTAGAATCAATCTACTCAATGATCGCTCTTGTCTTCATCCTTGTCAC